ATAATTCTTTACTATACCTACTGTTGTTTAACTCAGAATTTTTTTTTGTAGATGTGTTTTTTATACCAAGAAATCCCATAGTGCTGTAACATAGCTTCCCCAATCTTTTATTGCATGTGTTCCATTGTGCACTCAGTCCTGTGTGTTGCTTGTTCTTGCTGATATTGCTGTGCCTGTGTTTTCTATATGAGTATCCATACATATACACACATTCATCTGATGATATGAGTCTTTTATTCTTGAGATCATCCTGCAAATGAGATCTTTCATCACCAATGAGTACTCCAGTATGTATTTCCCATGCACAAGGACACTTATTTATCACTCCAAATTAGGAAATCAGCACTGATCTAACCCTACTGTGCAGTCAGACTTTTTGCAGTCATTTTGCCCCGTATTAATTACATCCTAGTTTTTACTGCAATATTGACTTAAAGAATGTAATTACATAGGTTTTCTTTATTATTGACTTGAGTCATGACAATAATATATCAATATGGTTGTTATTCTCAATATATTGTAAGTCACAGAGAGGAGGGAGCATATCTTTCTCTCTATTCCTTGTAGCACCTAGCCTAAGGCTTTGAAGATAGTAAGGATCATCCAATGAATTGAATCCTTAGAATCAAAATGAAACAGTTCTACCACATATGTATTTGTTAGAAGAGAGATATGTATCCTCTTTCTGTGTTCAGATGCAATATAAAAAGTTTTTGTTTTTGTTTTTAAAAGGCAAAACTGAGTGAAAGGGCAGTAACATCCCAATTGGGTAGCTCCCTGCTACCCTCACCTGTGTCTATGCAGGCTGAAACCTGTTTAGTTGGGTTAACAAAATCAGGATGGCAGCTTGGACTGCCCAGTGCCAATGTATGCAGTGGATTCCAGGATGCTGTGAAGGTGTGCTGCTGAATTGAACCTAAGGCCTCATGCCTGCCGGACAAGCATTTCTACCACTGAGCACATCCCCAGCTATTTCAGTGGCTTCTAATATGTTCATCATGGATTATGCAACTTCAGCAATTTTAGTACATTTTCATTGCCCCCCAAAAGAAACCCTATATTTAATTTTTTTTTAAGAGAGAGGGAGAATTTTTTAATATTTATTTTTTAGTTTTCAGCGGACACAACATCTTTGTTTGTATGTGGTGCTGAGGATCGAACCCAGGCCACACGCATGCCAGGCGAGCACACTACCACTTGAGCCACATCCCCAGCCCAAAACCCTATACTTTTAAATTATCACTCCTAAAAGTCCCATGCCCCCAGTTATAGGCAGCCACTAATCTGTTTTCTATCTATATAGATTTGTCTAATTTGAACATTTTATATAAATGGAATTACATAATACATGGTTTTTTGTAACTGCCATCTTTCATTTAATATTTTAAGATTTATCCATATTGGTTGACTAATGCTGCTAAGAACACGTGTGTACTTAATTTCTTAAGTTTTTGTGTGAACGTATGCTTTTAGTACTCTTGGGTGTAGACCTAGGAGTAGGATTGCTGAATTATGCAGTGACCTCATGTTTCCCTTTGGAGGACTTGCCAGATTTTTTTGGAAAAGAAGCTGCATCATTTATATTACTACCAGCAGCAGTTCTGATTTTTCTTCACCCTTTTCATCTCTTGTCTTTTTTATTATAACCATATGGTAGGTATGATGTGATATCCAGCAGAGGTTTGATTTGCGTTTCCTAATGACTGATGATGTTGAGCATCTTTTCATGTGCTGGTTAGACATTTATGTGTCTTTGGAGAGAGGTCTACTCAAGTCCATAGCCATAGCTTACTTTTAATTGGGGCATCTCTCCCCACCAACCCTTTCTATTTATTTATTTATTATTATTTTTAAAAATGTTTTTTTATAGTAGATGGACACAACATCTTTATATTATTTTTATGTGGTGCTGAGGCTCGAACTCAGTGCTTCACACATGCTAGGTAAGTGCTCTACCAACTGAGCTATAACCCCAGCCCCACCTTTCTATTTATTTTGAGTCTTTTTTTGAGACATTTTCTCACAGATTGCCCTGGCTGGCCTTGAACTCCTGAATCACTGGGATTATAGGTGTATACTACCATACCCAGAAAAAGGAACCATTTTAACATGAACAGTCAATGACATTTAGAAAATTTGCCATGTTGTGCAACCATCACTACTGTTTAGTTTCAAAACATGAGTGTAAGCATCTCAAACCCATTAAGTAATCACTTTCCATTAATGTTCTTTGTCTGCCCCTTGGTAACCTCTCATTTGCTTCCCATAGCTACGGATTTGTCTATTCTGGATATTTTATATAAATATAATAATATAATATAGACATATCATGTCTGATTTCACATAGTATGACATATTTGAGATCTATACATTTTGGACAAGTATCATTATAGTAATTTTTTTTGGTGCTGAAATAATATTCCATGAGAAATATATTAGCCAATCACTGTTAGTGGACATGAATTTTTTCCTTCTTTAGCCTTTTAGCTATTGCAAATAGTATCATTATGAATATTTATGTATAAGTATTTGTTTGAATACCTGTTTTCAGGTTTCTTGAGTTTATACCTAGGATTGGGATTGTTGGATCATATAATAATTCCATATTAATTTTTTTTTACTGGGAATTAAATTCAGGGGTGCTTTACCATGTAGGTACATCCTCAGCCATTTTGAGACAGGGTCTCACAATTTATAAATTGCTTAGGGCCTTGCTAAGTTGCTAAGGCTGGCCTCTAACTTGTAGTTCTTCTACCTCAACCTTCTGAATCTCTGGGATTACAGGCCTCTGCTACCACACCAAACTTATGTTAATTTTTTTAGGGACTACCAAACTATTGTACATAGTAACTAACCATTTTACACTTCTGTCAGCAATGTATAGTGGTTCCAATTTCTTTGCATCCTTACTAACTCTAAGTTTTTTTGAAAATTATTTTATCCTAGTGTTTATTAAAACCACCATCTCATTGTAGTTTGGATTTGTATTTCCTTCATGACTAATGAAGAGCAAGCATCTTTTCCTGTGATTGTTGCCCATATGTGTATCCTTGAAGAAGTGTCTCTTCAGGTTCTTTGCCCTTTTGTAAAATGATGGGTTTTTGTTTGTTTGTTTGTTCATGAATTTTAAGAGTTCTGAATGTATTACAAATATTAAACTTTATTAGGAATATGATTTTACAGATATCTTTCCTATTGTGTACATTGTCTTTTAACTTTTTTCATAGTGTCTTTTGGAGGCCATCAGTTTTTCACTGTGGTGATTTCTCATTTATGTGTTGTTTTTCTTGTGATTATGCTTTCAGTGTCCTAAGAAAACATTACCAAGTCCTGGGTCACAAAAGAGTCATGTATTTTTTTCTGGGAATTTTATAGTTTATCTACTGTATTTAAGTCTTTGGCCTATTTTGAGTTAATTTTTATGTATGGTGTGAGGTAGCAGTCTAGCTTCCTTCCATCTCATGTAGATATCTACTTTCCCATTTGTTGAAAAGACTATTCCTTCACCATTAATATGGGTTTTGCGGGGGTAGGTTTGGTTTGGGTTTTTCAGACAGTACTAGGGATTGAACCTAGAGGCACTCTATTATGAAACCACTGAGCTACATTTTCAGCTTTTAATTTTTTATTTTATTTTATTTTATTTTTTTGAGACAAGGTTTCACTAAGTTGCTAAGGCTAACTTTGAACTTGCAATCCTCCTTCCTCAGCCTCCTGTGTTACTGGAATTACAGACATGTACCACTGCACCAGGCTTGTTCTGGTGCTTAATTGACAGTACATGTGAGGGTTTATATTTGGATTCTTGATTGGCTTATTTATCTGTCTTTGCCCCAGTACTATGGCTGTTGGTTTTTTTAGTAACTTTTGTTAGTCCTCCAACTTTTGCAAGATTGTTTTGGTTATTCTGGGTCTCTTGAGTTTCCATGTGCATCTTGAATTAGCATCAATTTCTGCAAACTCATCTGGGATTCTGATAAGGATTGTGTTGACTCTAGGTTAATTTAAGGAGTACTGCCATATTAAAAATAGTGTTTTCCAGTCCTTGAACACAGGATGTCTTTCCATTTATCCAACTTTTAAATTTCTTTTAATTTCATGTTTTGTAGCCTCTAGAGTAAAATCTTTAAAATAGATACCCTGACATATACCCACAACACACACACATGAACTTGCACATGTACAAATAGCCTGGCTCATACTTGGTGTTATGTACCGTTGATACTGTTATTTTAAATCTTTTTATGTCTTTAACATTTTGGAAGAGGTGGATTAAAACAGAATAATAGCTTGCCAAAGTATTCAAGATTCATTTCCAAAAAATTTTACAAAACAAAGACCTTTATCCTTCAGTAGAGATAACATGTAAAAAAAAAGCATGAAATATCAAGTATAAATAAGCAAGAAACTGAACAGTATGTCCCTTTTGTGCCAAAACCATGATCTGTTTCTTATTTGATATACTTGAAAGGAATTATACCAAAAGATTAGCTATTTCTGGCTAGGATTATTAGGATTTATATTTTTCAGTTTTTCTGTATTGTATTTTAAGCATGTATAGATTTTTTGCATATATATATAAGGAAAATGTTAAAGTTGTTTATAATAATGTAAGCATGCAGAGATGTTAGAAAAGTGATTTACTTTATTCCTCTGAGGCTTTTTCCAGAGTTATATGTTTTGCCTACTTTATGGGGATCTGGTTGTAAAAAATATGCATATGAATTTTCAGAAAATTAGGAAACCTAGTGGAAATATATGAAGGAATATACATTGCTGTTCAGAAATCATGAGAGATGATCTTTATGTATAGATAAAGACTAAATAACAGCTTTGTTTAGGTTGTTTCTAGATTCATGGTGGTGTTTTAATAGCATTGATGGTCCACAATAAAAGGTATTTTTAGGAACTAACATTTATCCTCACAAAATTTCTAAGTACTATTTTTTTGCAATTTAAAACAGTAGTTAATAGCATTATCCAAATAATTTCTCCACCAGGCACGGATGGGCAGAAGCTTTTGCAGGTATCAGAAGTTCACATATCAAATATATCTGCCCGCATGCGTGAGTATTTCTAGTCTTTAGGCTTATGGTTCAGAATCTGGGGAGGAACAATTATAATAGCTTTACTTTTTCAGAAAAGCATTTGAATATAATTAATTTTTATCCCTTAAATCTTCAGTTTAAGATTAAAGATAATTTCTTAATTTCTTAAAACTAGAATTCGTGGTTAAAATGAAACTTTTTTTCCCTTTTTACTTAAGAAATTTAAATATTGCTCTCCTAGAGATCAGCTGAATGTAAAGTCAGGAAAATTATTTTGGATATTTAAATATATGTAAAGTTCTAAGGATATCCCAGGGATATCTGTGAAGGGGATCTACCTGCCAGATTTTCAAAAATTATTATGTTAAAAACACTCTTGAATTTTATCAGAGACAATGTGATGTACTGTGGACAGAATAGACTTTCAAAATTTCAAAATATTTGGTTTCAATTTCTGATTCTGTCAAAAAGGAAGTGGCAACTCCTGAGTAAATGCAGAAAAATCAATAAGTTTAGCAAGTTTCCTGTCAAGAGGTTGCTGAGAGGAAGTAGCTATGGAGAAGACAGAAGGGTGGGGTACATGGGGGTAGGTTAGTAACTCATCCTGAGAAGTGGGAACAGCAGTACAGTTGAAACATACATGAATATGGGAAAAGGAGTAATATCTGAGATTAGGAAAGAAACATTTTCTTTCTCTTTTTATTCAGAAATAGAGGGTCTGTTTTACTTCCAGCTACATCTGAACACTGTGGTGTAGTGTGGCTGTGTCTTCTATTAATCTATTCAAACAAGAAACAGAATTCTTACGAGAATTCTTACGATGTCAGAATTTCTACTATATTGTTATTTTCCCCAGATTGAATTGCTGTAAGGCTATTTCACAGCCTGGGGGATGTTTATATCATCAAATTTAGATATAGATGTTTAAAATTTCAAAGACATATATAGAGAGATGTGTAACGCAAATGAAGAGAATAGTCATGAGATGTGTTTATTTTTCTTTCCTTTTGTACCTGGCTAAGTTCAGATAATCTGTCATATTTTTCATCTCAGATTTGAATTGGATATAATGGACACTTAGGCAAATCTTACATTTATTTAGAGGTCTCTTAATCAAGCAGGTGCATAGCTAAGAACTAGATGATAAGAAAAATGTGATCTGGGTTATGAGAATTGAAGTTTGCCATTTCTGTGCAAAAAAAAATTGCTCTAATTGTCTCATATGCTTCCAACCATCTTGGTTCTTGGCTTCCCTTCTCATGTCTGAGAAGTTGTAAGTATTAAGTAAGTGTGTTGAGGACATTTTTTTATTTGCCAAGCTTAATCCTTCACAGCTGCTGCTGTGTCCTCAGAGCACACTTGGAGGGCAGAGATCATAGTTATTTAGGAAAAGATGCATAAAACATATGTTAAAATTGTAGCAGTTTTGTGTGAGCCTCACATAATTTATTTTTGATTGGTTGAATTTATCAGGTTTTGTGCTCTGTTGTTATTATTTTGCTTTTTTTTTTTCCTCTCCCATATAGGCCAGTTATGCCTGTTACATTGAATATGAAAATGGCTATGCCTTCTTGGTAAGTCAGAATTTACTTATTCAATCAGAACTCTTTAGTCTTTCATTACAAGTGCTTTTGTGTATAACAGTCTTTATTTAGTTATTTTTTAAATTGCAAAGTTACAAACATTAACCTTATTTAAGGTTTTATGCTTTAGATCTGTGAATAAACATAAGGAATTATATAAACAGAAACATGAATAAATGGGTACATAGAAATATTTTGGGAAAATATCTTTCTGTTTGATAGGCCTTTGTTGACTTCAGTCACCAAACCTCTGAATGATCCCATGTGGTTCACTCTAATTAGGCCACAGTCTCTTTATCCTTCCAGTTTTTTCTCCTTCTGGAGAGCTGGTTAATTTTTAAAGAAGCCACTTCTCATTCTCACATTTGTTGTTTACTTTATGGTCAGGAAGTAGGTTTAGTTTCTCATTTCTCTTTATTGCCTTATATGATTTCTCTCTGTGGTTCTCTGAGACTCTTGTCATCAAGTGTTTCCAAAAAATGGTGGCTTTGACATTTTGCCTTCTACTTCAGCTTCTGCCACTATTTTACTGTTTGGGTGACCACAGGGTCCAATTTAAGTGGCCCATTTACAACCTGACTGGCTTCCTAGTTTCTTCTCCTTTTCTCTTTCCCAGGTTTTTTTTTTTTTCTCCTCCCTTCTTCTTAACTTTGGTCATCCAAAGTCTTGTCATCTGAAACTGTCTCATCTCTGAAGTTACTTAATTCACCCCTGAATAGTAACATAATAATTGCATATCCATTGAGTTTATTTCCTTGTTTCCATACTGTGTATTCTGAGACCTCATCAGGACCTCCATTCTGTTGTCTTTTTGTCCCCACTACTTTTTCTATCCACCCTCCACTACCCTTTTTATCTACTTTGGATTCTATGAATGTTTCCAGGTTTCTACATACCTTATTTTATCTCTGTGTCTGACAAAAATCCTGATCCCTGAACTAAAATTTCTACTAATGTTGTAGAGACCATAATGTGAGCATATAACCAGATAGAGAAGTAGAGAGAGCAAATGGAAGATTTTCCTTGATTTCTGGTTTGAGGTGGTTATAATGCATAATGGGAAATGAATAAAGATCACTATAAGTACTAAAGTTTGATGGGTATGAGGTGGTATATACAAGAGTAACATGATACAGAAAGTAATCATTCCATTGAATTGATTTAGAATACAGAAAAGGATAGGAATAGCTGGAATTTATTACAAAATTTTCAGGATTGAGGGTTGAAATACCAAGGGGTTGTTTTAGGGTTTTTTATTTTGTTTTTGCTTTTGTTTGAGTGTAAGGTTAGACTAATATTTTAGGTTCTTCTCATCCTAATATTATGTGACACTGTGACTTTTTAACATTAGCATCTGAATCTAGTTAGAATGAAAGGAACATTCAGAAAGTCAGAGTCATGTGTTTTAAGTTAGTTGTATGACCTCTGTAGACATATTAACGTGAGTTTCAAATTGTAGAGAGTGATCTTTGGTCAGTGCTTTTTATACACACTACCGTGAATTTAATAAAACATCCTTGCCAAGAATAGACGTTTTCAGAATCAAATGGTTCTTTCAAGGTTTGGCCTCATTTTCTAGGTTTGATATCATTGGACTTTCACCAGATGCTCAGGAGGATGAACCTGGAATTAAACAAGCGGCAGAAAATGGTAAGTATAGAAAATGCTTTGTAACAGCCAAAGGCATCTCTAAATGCTTTTAGTTGACTGAGTAATTACATTGATACTGATTAGATATGACCCAGCTATGCAATCTCAGGAGGTTGTGCTGTTTCCTTCCTTTCTGATCACTCTGACTGATTTGCCGCCATGTCTACATGGACTCAGCTGTGGTTGATGGAGATGAGGTAGATGGGGCAGAAGCATTTGTCAGCTTCAGCTCTGTCAGATATGTAAGAATTTTGCTTTGATTCACAGAATAGGCAAATGGAGAAAATAGAACAGTGTTTAGTAGGTTGTGGCTAGTTATCTTCATTAAGGAGATATGAAATATGATAAAAATAATGATGTACAGAACATAGTGATATAAGATTAATAAAAAATGAAAATGATATTAAAGTTTAATATTAGTGTCATAATAATATATATTACGAATTAATTAGCTGTTTCTAAACTAGGTATTTCTCTTGTAAATTGTCTTCACTTAATGCTTTTGTGCAAGTATTAGCTAAACTTTACAGAATCACCAAAGTCAATTTTAGGGGGAGTATTGCATTCTCCTTTATGAACATAACTCAGCTTATTTTGTGGGTGAAAGCATAAGAACATTAACTTACTGAAAGTTTGATAGTTTGTAAAAGTACACAGACGCATCCTTTCCTTTTACATGTATGAACCGAATTATTTACAGGTAGAACAATGTAATGATTAGGATTGACTTCAGAATAATCTGGGTAGTGGCTCCTGGATGGTGGCATCAGCGAAACAATTGTGACTGTGAATTGATAATTAGAGAATTAAGGTGATGTAGAATGATCAAAGGAAGGATCCCAAGGAATTATTTCATTACTCTTCATACTTTTGTAGTTGTTGAAATTTTTAAAAACAGACTTAAAAACCCAAGCCTAGTAAGAGCCTTTAATCTTTTTTAAAGAACTGTTATGATCTTTAAGAAAGAGAAAATAGGGGCTGGAGATGTGGCTCAAGCGGTAGTGCGCTCGCTTGGCATTCGTGCTGCCTGGGTTCGATCCTCAGCGCCACATACAAACAAAGATGTTGTGCCCGCCGAATACTAAAAAAATATTAAAAAATTCTCTCTCTAAAAAAAAAAAAAAGAAAAAGAAAGAAAGAGAAAATACATTAAAAAAACATTGGATGTTTGGGAAAATCCAATGAATACTGACTTTTATTAGATCATCAGAAGTAGATCAAAGCTATCCTAGAGTTAACATTTTTGTCTAAAAATAACAGATAATAAAAATATATATCTAGATATTGAGTAAGTGTTGGATCCTGTGGAAAACTGGGAGGGGCTGAGTAGGCCCTGTGGAAAAGACAGGTGGGCCTCATGATTTCCAGAATGAGAGAAATCCTGTCTTGACAGTGGAGTTGGCCCTTGAAATACTTGTCACTGCTTTCCTTTCCAAGTGAACAGTTAGGGGGAAAAAGGCAGAGAGAATGTGCTACTGAAAAAAGCAGAGTGCTCCATTGAGATTCTCCATTGAGAAGTAGTACTGCTCCTGCCCTTAGGGTGAAGGTCATTGAAATTAAAACCTGCCTCTCCACAGCTGCTGTCATTGTGCCTTGTCCAGAGGCCTTTACCTCAGCCACTGAGTGTAACTATAAGGAGCTAAGCGTTGTGAAACTGAGGGAAAACTCTCAAGTGCTTCCTGACTGACTGGCAGTAATGTTCCTTGAGCCCAGCCTCTGCTGCCCTCTGCCCCCACTCTCCTGGAAGCTGGGCTGTTTTTGCCCCTTCGGCATCTTTTGATCTCCAGCTGCAGTTTCCCCCCAATCAGTCCTTCATACTTCTTAACAGTTCCTTAAGCTGGGTTCACAAAATCTGACTATTTCAATAACTTAAGAAAACGACAAAGAAAGCATGCAAACACACAGAGGTATCTTTTCAAAATCTCTGACGGCTCTCCGACCTTAAGGATCCATGGAAAGAGAGCAAGCCATTGGAATTCTTTATTCTTATATAGGGGACACACAAGGGGAGGTTCCATGGAACATTCTATCCCAACAAGGGCAAAGGGATAGGATTACAAAGGAATGGATAAGTGTAACTCAACCCCAGTGGGTGACGCCTACTCCTAGAGCCATGCCTTGTTATCTGAACTGGGGTGACGCCCAAATTAGTGCAACCTGGCGCTACCATGTCAGATTGAGGCAATAATTGTTCAGAACCCCAGTGCATCAGGACTTAAAGGTGTCTGCATGCAGGGCAGCTCCCAACAACTCTGCTTTTATTAAAATACCAAAAAATGTCCAAATTAAAAGTTATTTTTTTGATTTACGTAAAATTTAGTTCTTTAGTTAGAATTAGTATAAAAAAGCAAAGGTACTCTAACTATTTTGAAAAGCACAGTATAATGTGTTAGACACCAGGAAAGGAGGCTTAAGGAACTGTTAAGAAGTACGAGTTTTTTGTTTTTGATAAAAAAGGAAATATAAAATCGGAGATTCTAATTTTTTAAAAACATGAAAGAATGTATGTATGTAAAACATCAGACAGATTTGTAAAATGTCAAGTTATCCATGAAACACAAGATTGATAATAAGGAAAAAGAAAATTCCAGGAGTTGTTAAGTACTTATATTTGTATGGTACATGTCAAGGTATGTTGTAGAAACAAAAGTACTTATTTGAAATTCTTCCCTCATCAATTATTTACTGACTATAGGAAAATTTTACTGAACTTTTAAGAATTAGAATGAACAGTTTTTAATACTGTAAATCAGAAAACATGCAATCCTATATGCTATTTAACTCAGGTGTCACAGTGGCACACACCTTAATCCCCAAAACTCAGGAGGCCAAGTCAGGAAGATCCCAAGTTTCAGGCCAGCCTAGGCAATTTGGTAAGACTCTGTCTCAAAATACAATAATGATATTTGTTTTTAAAAAAGGACTGAGAATGTAGCTCAGTGGTAGAATGCTTGCCTAGCATGTGTGAGGTCATGGGCTTACTCCTCAACTCTGGGAGAAAAAAAAAAAAACTATATGCTATTTTAAAATGATGACTTTTAGGTATAAATGCCCTATAGTTTTTTTTTTTTTTAAGAGAAATATAAAGTGTACATGAGCAGAATTAACCATGAATTAAAACATATGCATACACCCCCTGTTAAATCCTGGGCTTCATGCATGCTAGGCAAGTGCTCTGCCACTGAGCAGTACCCCAGCCCTTATTTTATTTTGAGACATGGTCTCACTAAGTTGTCTTCAGATTGGCCTTCAACTTGGAGTCTTTCTGCTTCAGCCCCCTAAGTGGCTGGGATTATAAGAGTGCACCACCATACTGGGCAAGAATATCCACCTCTCAATGAAGAAAGAGTATTACAAAGTGACAAGAAATTGTTGAAATTTTAAGTTATACAGCACTTGCAAAATCTGAGAAGTTTCATAACGAAAAGACATTCTGATTTTATGTTTTAATTGAGTGCTTCAGGTTTTTCACTCATTTTCACCTTGAATATACTTAGTACTTTTCTAGTATTTTTTTTTCCTATTTTATATTGCATCTCTGGGCTTAACTTTAAAAGCATTTGTGATTAACTTTCTTGTTTTTAGTAAAAGCTTTGATAGATCAAGAAGTGAAGAATGGCATTCCATCTAACAGAATTATTTTGGGAGGATTTTCTCAGGTAAGTTAAAGTTTGGGTGGTATGTCAGTACCATCAGTATTTTATCTAGAAATCTGAGATTTCAGTCATTTTCTATGGAAGAATTATAGAATCTTGATGGATGTTAATGCTGAATTAAGTTTGGATTAAAACTAGTTAATTTTCACTTTAGATACATTTTTGCTTTCCTAGTTTTCTGTGTCCTTAACAATAACCTTTGTCTTTTAGATTATCTTCAGAATCAATTTATTAAGGAAACTGATTGAAACCTGAAATGTATTTTCTTAAAATAATAATAGCACCACTGTGTTTAGGTTTTTAAGTTAACACTATGTACCCTTTTAATTAATTAAAACTCTGATAACACAGGCATAAGTCCCTTGTTCTAGGTGACTTGGACTAGAAACAATAGGTAGATGATGAGAGAAAAATAATGTCTTTCCCTTTTTTGTTATATAAAAATAAGTTTTAAATATAAATGTGTAATGTTTATTTTGGTATCTTTCTTCCTGTCTTTACTTTTTCTCCGCCTTATACTTTTTTAACAGCCATGGTTCCCTTGTGTTGGCCTCATGTCTTTACTTCAGCTTTTCACCTGTTTCCATATCACCTGTCCTAGAATGCTCTAGCTTCTAATCTACAAATCTTCTAAATCAGCAACTGAGTGTTCCCTTACTTAGGCTAATGTCAGAATTCTAGAATTATTTAGAGAATATAATTCAATATAAACATAATATTGTTGATACAATACAGTAAAAAGGAGTTACTGATAAGGTGTTTGTTGAAATAATGTGCATAATACACATCTTGACAGAAACATAAGACACAAAAATTAATGCTTGATTCAAAATATGAAGTGTACCTAGGAGTCTTGTCTATTTGAGATTTATTGATAACAGCCTACAGAAAACAATCCCTAATACCTATGTGTGGAATGATGGAACATCATGAGTTTAAGCAAGAAGGATTAAGTTAAGAGTCTATAGTATCATAACAGGGAGACCATGCCTAAAAATAAAGTATGGACTCAGGAAGTAGCGGGAATCTAGAAAGCCATCAGGACTTTTCTCTCCATCTTCAGCTTTCTTTGTCAGCTCACTTGCCTGATTTGCTTCTCCATTATTTGTTAGCCATCTTAGTTCTTGCAGCTTGTAATTTTTCAGCTCTTGAATTTACATGTTACAGTTCCAGCCACACAAAGAGACTGCCTACAGTCACTGAATCCCAGTTCCACAGCTCCGAGGAAAGCAACCATCAGTGTCTGGGATGGCCCTAGTAGTGGCGTATGGGCACGATCAGAGTGATAGGCATCTAGATGGCTGCAAGATTATAGTTCCCAGGACATGGGATGTTTTGAACTGGGTGAGCAGATACTCTAAAGATGTCTGCTACACTGTCCTTGTTATCTTGATTTCCACTTTTAGAAAATAGTACTAATTTAAGACAAGATTGGATTTTAGGCCTGAGACTTCTCGAAAGAGAAGATGATAACTAAGTTCAGAATATTCCTAAGGCATGCTGTAAACGGTTTACTATACTATTTATTGTCTGTGTCTTGACTGGGTAGTTGGTATGTTCTCTTTGGTGTAGAGAGCTGTGTGCATTATGGGTATGCATTCCCACTGTTTGTCTGATTTGATTTGACATTGGCCACTCAGTTGATATCTTCATGGACATCATTAATAACAAGAAATTTCCTACATTGCTATTGGCAGAGTGTGGATTTTCCATTGACTTTCCCTGCTTGCTTTCCAGGGAGGAGCCTTGTCTTTGTACACTGCTCTCACCACACAGCAGAAACTGGCAGGTGTCACTGCACTCAGTTGTTGGCTTCCACTCCGGGCTTCATTCCCACAGGTAGTCTGGTTTAGATTTCTGAGCTAAGAGGTAGCAGATAATGTTGAGGAGGTCATCCTTTTTATTTAAATCAAGAAACTTTATTTATTTTTGGTTTATAGCAAAATTGAACACAAAGTAAACTTCCCATTATGGAAATCCCACACCACAGTGGGACCTTCCTTAAAATCAGTGGACCTAAGTGAGACATCATTACTACATGGTTTATATCAGTCATCCTTTTAAATTTTTATTTTATTTATTTTATCTTACTGTATTTTTTTACATTACCAGGGACTGATCCCAGGGGTGCTTAACTACTGAACCATGTTCCCAGCACTTTTTTATTTTTTATTTTGAGACAGGGTCTCACTAAGTTGCCTAGGGCTTTGCTGAGTTGCTGGGGCTGCATCGGCCTCCCAGTGACTGGGATTACAGATGTGTCACCATGCTTGGCTCAGTCGTCCTTTTTTAAAAAGAATTTCCTTGGGCCTTTGTAAAGTGTTACTAGGCTTTACCTATACACTCTATTGTCTTTATTTGGATTGCATAGAATGGAATAAGAAATAAGCCTTAGGTCATAAATCTTTTATTTGATTTATATTTTATATTTTAAGGGGTATATGGAAATTAGGGCTATTTTTTAAACACACAGAACTATTTTTTAGTATTTAATATATTCAGGGTTTGATAGCAGAATTTTACTATAGAATATAATTTCTAAATATTCAACAGTGAAGCAATATATAAGACACATGGGAAATGTAGACATTATTTTCAAATTCTTTTTTTTTTTGGCGGGGTGGGGGGGTTGGTGCTGGGGGTCAAACACAAGTCCTTGTGCATAGCAAGCACATGACCACTGAGTTATTTTCCCAGCCCCAAATTTATTTTTAAATCTAGGGTTTTGTCTTATTATTATTTAATAACTCTTTGGTTTCTTGCACTTACTAGGTATTGTTTATTAACTGCTTATTAAAATCAATTAAATAAAAGCTGAAAAAGAACATGATTAACCTAATGTATCCTAATAGATATTAATTACTTCTCATATCAAGACACTGAAAATATAGAAATGAATTAAGATGTAATAGATTTCAAGAAATGGGTTCGTTGGGAAGATGTGGTATAAAACAAGGCAGTCATTCTATAGAATTTTAAATAAAGGGACATGGAAAAGAGAGGAAGGAAATTTTATTTCTTTGGCCAAATATCACCTGAAATAATAAGTAATAACATGTTGTCTGTTATTACTCTGTGTACAGTTTTAAGTATCTGGCGTAATGCTTTATACATGTGACTAACTGGTACTTTTATTCTGTTCTGCAGAGTCCCATCAGTGGCCCTAATAGAGAGATATCTATTCTTCAGTGCCATGGAGATTGTGATCCTTTAGTTCCGCTAATGTTTGGTTCTCTTACTGTTGAAAAACTAAAGACTTTGGTAAATCCAGCAAATGTAACCTTCAAAATCTATGAAGGCATGATGCACTGTTCATGTCAACAGGTAGGTATCTGGAAACAGTGATCAGAGTCATAGTTGCAACTTCTTTATGTCATATTTTTAAGATCAATAACATTTGACACTTGGGGACTTAAAAGAGTTAATGAGTTCAGTTTAAATCTTAGGTTAGCAAGTCTTCAAACATTTATTCACTAAAATTCCACAAATCCCTCATTGTCTATATCACACACAAAAATCGTACAAAAAGCAAAAGTGAATAATAAATATTCCTTTTTAATTATTAAAATTTAAGGTTAATTAATTAACACTTAATAGGAGAAAGATGTTTATCCAAGTATCTAACAGGAAACAGAACATGATATGTGCTGTGGTAGCAGTTTTTGAAAACTACCCCGCAGTCATACAGGTGTGGTGGCACATGCTCTGCTACTGTGGAGGCCAAAGCAGGAGGATTGCAAGATTGAGACCGGTCTCACCAATTTAGCAAGACCCTGACTCAAAATAAACAATTAAAAGGGGTGGTATAAGCACCCCTTGGTTCAATCCCCAGTACCACAAAAATTTTAAATAAATTAAAAAATAAAAAAGTACCCTGGGGGCTTGGGATGTGGCTCAAGTGGTAGGGTGCTCGTCTGGCGTGCGTGAGGCACTGGGTTCGATCCTCAGCACCACATAAAAAAATAAAATAAAGATATTGTGTCCATCTAAAACTAAAAAAAAAAAAAATTAAAAATAATAAAGATAAAAAAGTACCCTGTAACTGAGTGTGGTGGTACATACCTGTAATCCCACTACTGAAGGCTAAGGGAGGAATAAGGAAAGTTCAAGGCCAATCTGGGCAATTTAGGAGATTATCTTAAAATAAAAAGGGCTAGGGATGTATTTTAGTGGGTTTAATCCCTAGAACCACACACACAAAAAAATAGTGCCCTGAAAAACTGAGACAGGTGAGATTAATTTTATTTTAGGAAGTGCTGGTATCATAATAAAAGAGCTGGATTTTGAGGAATGAACAGAATATAGATAGAAAATATGCAGGTAAGGTCTATAGGGCAATAAGAAGAAAATGTCCATTTTGGCCAAAGTTTTATGAAAAGCTAGATGTTGTAGGACAGAAGAGACAGGGAGCGGCTTGTTCTCTAGACAGCAGGAAACCATCAGTGTTGATCAAAGTGAGAGATGTGATGTAATCTACATGCCAGAGCAGGTGAGAAGAACTCCTATAGAATTTAGAAGTTAATTCTATATGTAGAAAAGTAGGAGGTTTCAAAGAGGTCCCAGATTTTTTAGCTCAGATGCCAAAGATGCCATCATAAAGTAGGTACAAGGAGCAATTTTAGAGTAACAGGCAGGAGATAATATTGTGTTTTGTGACCATTTTGAGATGTACCCCTACTGTATCAAAATAGTGTTAGAAATACTTGTCTGAAGCTCAAGCCTATAAATGGAGACTTGGAATAATTACCATTATTGTGGATCAGTGAAGAATAGTGTGCTCAGAACCTCATCATCAAAGAGTGGAGAGAGAGAACTTTGGGGGATACATTTGAATTCAGGCTAAAGAAAAGAGGAGTAGGTGTTTGAAAGTATGGGGGAAGAGAATTTCTACAGGAAAGAGCAGTAACACATATGTCAGAGGATTAAAGAGAAGAGAGGCCAGGAGGGAACTGTCCAGTATTAAGCCATCTCTGACCTTGGTTGTTTGGGAAGGAAAAGCCAAACTACAGTGGGCCATGTGACGTAGATGGAGAGAAAGTAGAGAGTGGAATACAGATCTTTTTTAAAAAAAAGTTTTGGTGAAGAGTAGAAGTCTCATTTTTAGATGGGAGAAAGACCTGTGGTGAAGGGAGGATGCAATGGAAAAAAGATAATTGAGAGGAGGAAGTCTGGAGGATCATATAGTAGAATTAAGACAATAGATGAGTTGTACTAACGTAGGAGAAAATACTTGGGATCAAAATAAAAGAGAATAGGTGAATGTAAACAGATGTCAGGGTAGAAAAGAGAGTATTTATTTGAGAGCTTATATTAGATGCTTTTTCAGTAAAGTAGGAGATGTGATTATTTGATAAGAATGAAAGGGGGGGGTGGTTCAGCGGTAGAGCACTGGCCTCGCTCGCCTCGCTTGTGTGAGGCCCTGGGTTCCATCCTTAGCACCACATAAAAATAAAGAAAAAAGATTGATGGCTAAGCAGTGAAATAGTCCATGCAACACTGTTTTATAGCCATTCAGCCTGGTTAATTCACTTGCTTTAGAGATAGAAAAAGTGGGTAGTAATATGACTTATCCAGAAAGACCAGGGGCTTGGTATCCTATGAAGTATGGAGTGTACTGAGAGGGGAGGTGGAGGTGCTGGCATCCTAAGTACCTAGGAGGGACTGAGGGTTTAGAGCATCACAGGTACCCTGCTTTTAGATGATTCCTTGTGCTGTTGCATTTGAGGCAAGAATGGAAAGTAAGGTGTGGCAGAGGGATGTAGTGTCACAGAAAACTGTAAGCACTTCACTGTGTTATAAAATCAAACACTTTCATGCTTTGATTTTCTGTGTGTGTGTGGTACCAGAGTTGAACTGAGGACCATTTGTACGCTTCTTTTCTGAGTGACTACATTATAAAGTTGAAGGTTCTCTGTATGGATGATTTGTGGAACAGTGAGGCCAAGGCCTTCAAGTGTTTAAAGGCAGGAAGTGGGTTTGAGGGAGATGGGAAAACTGTGAGCCAGACTCAACGCAGGAGGCTTCCAGGAGGAAGTTTGTTCTTATATTCATATTCAGATCCTTCCAGGCCTATCTTAGGCATGTGCTTTCTTTCAGATGGTTAGTTGTATATAATTCCTTATTAAAGGCACAAAATAGTTTATGCTATGGATTTAGCATTTCATTTTCTAATGAGGGAATGGTAAAAGTGAGACTTGATTGTCAGTTACTATGCACGTACCAAGTCTTCTTGGTATATGTACTGTAACTTCTAAACTTCTACATTCCCTAGTGCTTTGTTTTATTTAAATATCAGAAAATGTAAACCATTTTCATGGAAACTAGATAATAATCAGAAGCTATCATTTCAGTATATGATAATCATCATAGGATATGTTATGAAATTTCTATTAAAGCCTCATTTTTATTTTAATTTTTTTTTTTAGTTGTTGATGGACCTTTATTTTATTTATTTATTTTTATATGTGACACTGAGAATTGAACCCAGTGCCTTACACATGCCAGGCAAGTGCTCCACAACTGAGCCACAAACCTAGCCCTCATTTTTCTTTCATATCTCTTTATTATAGAAATAAAAATGTGACTTCAGCTTACCTATGTTCCTACTTGGATTTCATTAATGACATTTTAGTGAGGATTTAATTTCTGACTTATGTTGCTGTTGACTAATTTAACTTTATCTCAAACAGGAAATGATGGATGTCAAGCAATTCATTGATAAACTCCTACCTCCGGTTGATTGACGTCACTAAGAGGCCTTGTGTAGACGTACACCAGCATTCATTGCAGTAGAGTCTAAACCTTTTCCCATGCTCAACTTTAAAACTTCTAATGTTTGCAGTGTTGAAATGTTTTGCAGATACACACCAATGATACAGACAAAATAATGGCTCCTCGTGGGAAACCTAGGATCTTTTAAGTTTCTATATATGTATTTGTATACGATGATCCAGACTACACTAGTATTAAAATAGGTGAAGCACCTAGCTTCTTTTTCTTAAACGTAATTCAGCAAAATAAAATACTACAACCAAATTTTTTTATCATCATTTGAAAATTACTAGTATGCTTGACAAAAATTTGTTTCAGTATAAACAAGCAATCAAGATATAAACAATTTGTGCATGCTGTGACTTGGTCTATGGATTTATTCCAAAATTGCTTAGTCACCATGCAGTATCTGTATTTTTTAATATATATATATTCGTATATACATAATGATGGTAATACATAAAATTAGATGGTGTTACATTATTCCTGATAGTAGGGATAATGCTTATAAGTGTCAACAGAGAATAGTGTTGCTCTTTTCAATTAATTGTACTTTTATTGGGGGGACCAGGCTGTTCTTTTCCTTGATATTATTTCTATTTAATATTCTTTTCTCTCGAGAAAAATAAAAGTCCTTTCTTTTTTGATTGTCCTTTAGTAGCAGACCAGTTATTGCTTCATTGCCACAGACATCTGAATCACTGACATAGGATATTTAAGATCAATGTATGCTTTAAAAGAAATTGAACATTATTTAAACTTCCTGTACTACATATTTCAAAAACTAGACCTTAGTCCAAATTTAGACCTGTTTAGTTATTAGAATATTCAATCAATAAGAACAATTCTGTCTGTACTTTTATTTTTTTCTGTAAACAACTGAAAGACTAATTAGGTCATATTTTGGCATTTTCTGAAATATTTGAGATTGATCTTAAAAACTGGTTTCTAAAATGATTGGATCTTGGGGCTGGGGATGTGGCTCAAGCGGTAGCGCGCTTGCCTGGCATGTGTGCGGCCCGGGTTCGATTCTCAGCACCACATACCAACAAATATGTTGTGTCCGCCGAGAACTAAAAAATAAATATTAAAAAATTAAAAAAATTAAAAATTAAAAAAAAATAAAATGATTGGATCTTATAGCATACAGTTTAGATTTACTTTTTCTCTCTATATATATATGTTTGAAACCAACTACTACAGAAAATGAGCTGTCCATTAGAAAAAGTTGCTTTATTTTTGTCTGCCGGTGTACTTATTTGAAATTTTCACTTGAGTCAAATGATTTTTAAAATTATGCCTGTAATCCCAGCAACTCTGGAGGCTGAGGCAGGAGGATCACAATTTCAAGGCCAGCCTCACCAACTTAGAGAGACCCTAAGCAATTTAGCAAGACCCTGTCTTCAAAATAAAAAATAAAAAGGGGTGAGGATAAAGCTCAGTGGTAAAGTACCCCTGGGTTAAATTTTCAGTATCAAAAAAGCAATTCTTTGGTTAATATGCATCAGAATTTCCAGATTACTGATAAAAATTATTTGAAAACAAATTTATAGGTAATAAAAATTAATCAGACCTCCCTATATATGATGTAGTACCCTCACAATTTAGTATATTGCAAAAATGTATGATTAATATTTCTGAACTGTTAATTTGTTTTCTGTACTCCAGCTGACCAAAACAATGTTAAGAATGCATCTTTATAAATGGGTGCTAATTGATAATGGAAATAATTTCATAATGGACAATATAGGATGTTAATAATGAAGCCATATGTTTATGTCTGGATTTGAAAATTTTAAACAATCATTTACCTAAGTCATTTTTATTTTAACTTGAAGAACAAAAACTGTTTAATTTCAGTTATGCAAATCAGTAAGATCTTATTTATGGCAAGAAATATTCCGTTGAAATGTTGTGCTGTAACATGGGAAAATGTCGGTGTTTTTCACAGTTTCTATAAATGTGAAATAAAATTTAATTCTGACTTTTCTGTGACTTTTTTTTTTTTTAGTAGTAGTTTAACATTTGGGCTTATCTTGAAATAGGTGTCTGAAATGCATAGGAGGAAGATAACAATGTAATTACAAGAAAAGCATTGGGAAACAAACTCTGATGTTGGTGTTACTGACTTGGAATGGAACCAGGCCTGAGAAATAATCTGATGTTATTTAATTTAATCTAAAAGAAAAACAAACACCCACATTTGGCTTTCAGACTTCCTAACTTGTTTAAAAAGTTCTATTTGGTGTTTTCCTTTTGTCTTTTCCTTTAATGCAGTATTCACTGGAACTTTTAAATTAGGATCACAAATCAGTTATCCAAATATTCCTATCATCCAAATAGATCTTGTCAGCTGGGTGTGGTGGTGCTTGATTATAATACCAGCCACTTGGGAGGCTAAGGCAGGAGGATCAAAGTTCATGTCAGTCAGCCTCAGCAACTGAGCAAGATCCTATCTCAAAAAAAGAGTTGGGGATATAGCTCAGTGGCAGAGCACTCCTAGATTCAATCCCTAGCACTTCTCCACCCCTGCCTCCCAAAACAGTTTTTCTCTTTCTAGTTCACCATTGGCATCTAACTTTTCCCAGTACTGGAATATTTTCTGTTATAAATAGTCTTTTAGTTTCTGCTTTTGAATACTTAAAAGTGACCAGTGTACCTTTTGTTTAGTCTGTTAAAATTTTACATAGTTCTAATTATAAGAGAGTTCTATAACAAAAATATGTGTGCAACTTCAGTTCTTACGGATTTATCCTCTACAGCACCTTATTTCGTGTGTGGTGTGTGTGGATGGAACCCAGAGCCTCACACATGCTAGGCAAGTACTCTACCACTGAGCTGTACCCTAGCTCTAATGGGATAATGATTATTTCATCATCCTTATAAAAGCTTATGTTCATAGTTGTGATCAGAGCTTCATACTATGTCTGCCAATAGTTAACAGTAATTGTATGTATATATAAGTTTTGGAACTTGGCCTGTTATTACAATCTCTCTCTTTTTTAAATTGTAGATGAATATAATACCTTTATTTTATGTATTTATTATTGTTTATTTGGTGCTGAGGATCGAACCCAGTGCTTCATACATGCCAGGCAAGCACTCTACTTCTGAGACACAACCCCCAGCCCTCAGAGTTAAGTATCACAAGTTCTTGATAATTTTTAAAAGTAGATTTATGGCATATTCACCACCCTCCTAATAAGTCCCATGAATACCATTTTATTTTGTAGAAACTACTAAAAAGCAAGATGTAGTTTCTTAATTATTTAATAAGATCCCAGGTACTATACTAAGCATCTTTTTCTTACCCCTTTGATGCAGGGATTGAACCCTGGGGTGCTCTACTACTGAGATATACCCTTTTTTATTTTGACACAGATCTTACTAAATTTCCAAGGCTGGCCTTGGATTTGTAAGCTTTCTGCTTCAGCCTTCCTAGTCACTTTTTTCAGGATTACAGGTGTGGGCCACCACTCCAAGTTATATCAAATATCTTATATCCTTTATTCATATAATCTTATCAACCTTATTCCATTTTTCTAAAGAGGAAACAGAATGGAGCTCTTAGGATTCAAATTGATGTGCCTGTTTCATGGTCTTTACCACCTTGCTTTGTACCCCAGCGGGGTAACTTAAATGTTTTTAAACAGTGTATTTTATATGATCAAAACACCTAGAAATGCTGAGTAAAAACGAGTGCAGTGTTGCCTGCCTGTGATCCTAGCAGCTCAGGAGACTGAGGCAGGAAGATCTCAAGTTTAAAACCAGCCTCAGCAATTTAGCAAGACCCTGTATCTAGATACAATATCTAATAAGGGCTGGGATGTGGCAAAGTGGTTAAGCGCCCCTGGATTCAGCCCCAGTACCTAATAATAATAATGCTAAGTAAAACTATGATGCAAATCATATCACCATATTGAACTTGTGACCAGAGAGAACTAAAAGAACAATTCATGGAGGCAAACTTAACTTTGGGCTCAGATAAGGTAAGGTGTGGACATAATGCACCATTATAAAGCAAGGACACTTTCAGTGGGTGCACAGAAGGTAAACTAGAAAAAAGTCTGATCCCTAGCACAGGAGAATAAAAGGAAGCTTGTGTGTTTTGTCATGGATTCTCTGTTGGAAAAGGAAAAGGATCTTATCCTGAACTTTTATAATGAGAAACTTGTCTTCACATGTATCTGGGCTGTGAATTTCTCTTAAGTTATGTGGGCTGGCAACACAAACGTATAAATTAACATCAAGAATCTCCTCAGACCAGAATTGGAGGTATAGTGTAGTTAGTAGAATGCTTGCCTAGCATGGAAAAAAAGAAGAATGTGCCTGGACTAGCTCTGCTCCTAGAGCACCTGGGAGAGGCAAACAAAAACTTTTGAGTAACAGCCTCAAAACCTAAATTCGGAGACTGCACAAACAGCTCTGTCAAAAGTGAGCTCCAGCTGGGCATGGTGGCGCACACCTATAATCCCAGCAACTCTGGAGTGCTGAGGCAGGAGGATCATGAGTTCAAAGCCAGCCTCAGCAACTTGAGCCCTAGGCAACTTAGCAAGACCCTGTCTCTAAATAAAATACCAAAAAAAAAAGAAAAGAAAAAGAACTGGGGATGTGGCTCAATGGTTAAGTGCCTCTGGGTTTAATCAATCCCTGGTATCCAAAAAAATAATGAGCTTCAACTAGGCACATGTCTATAGTCTCAGCTACTCAAGAGACTGAGACAGGAGAATCATTTAGATCCATAAATTTGAGACCAACCTGAGCAACATACCATAAAAAAAATTAAAAATTACAAATAATTGTCTACCTACTACGAATAGGTAAAGATTAAATGATGATTAAAATCCCAGGATCTTGGAGAAATAGAATTTTTAGTAAAGTATGAGAAAATAAGTGAAAAACAATAAAGAATAACATCAAACTTTAGATGGGGCAAAGGGGGGAGGGTGGAGGGGCAAAGGGGTAGGAAAGATGGTGGAATGATATGGACATTATTACCCTAGGTATATATGTGATTGCACAAATGGTGTAACTTCTTCATGCACAACCAGAGAAGTGAAAAATTCTGCTCCATTTGTGTACAATAAATTGAAGAGCTTTCTCCTGTGGTGAATAAGAATAACAACATCAAATGAAGATTTGAAAAGAAAAGTTCTAGAAATGAAAGCCAACATCTGGAAAAGCTGCAACATATCTGAAACACTCAAATGTCAAAAATAGAGTAGCTAAATAAACTGAAACATAGATACAACTTCGTACAGCTATAAATAGAAAAAAAATGAGTTGGAGAGGATGTGGGGGGAAAGGCACACTCATACATTGCTGGTGGTACTGAAAATTGGTGCAACCATTCTGGAAAGCAGTATGGATATTCCTAAGAAAACTTGGAATGGAACCACCATTTGACCCAGCTATCCGATCACTCCTTGGTTTATACCCAAAGGACTTAAAATAAGCATATTACAATGATGCAGCCCCATCAACGTTTATAGCAGCTCAATTCACCATGGAACCAACCTAGATAACCTTCAACAGATGAATGGATAAAGAAAATGGGGTATATGTACACAGTGGAATATTATTCAGCCTTAAAGAAGAATGACATTGTGGCATTTGCAAGTAAATGCTGGAGAATAACATGCTAAGTGAAATAAGCCAATCCCCCCAAAACAAAGGTCAAATGTTTGATATGTGGATATGGATCCATAATTTTGGGGGGTGGCTAGGGAAGAACGGAGGAACTTTGAATTGGGCAGAGGGGAGGGAGGGGGGACTGTGAGGGTAAGAGGGAAGAGATGGACATTATTATCCTATGTTCATGTATAATTGCACAACCAGTGTGATTCTGCATGGTACACAGCCAGAGAAATGATAAGCTGTGCTCCATTTGTGTACAATGTGTCAAAATACATTCTGCTGTCATGTGTAACTAGTTTGAACAATAACAAAAAAAAAAGTAGAAACAACCAAAATATCTGTCAACCGATGAAAGGAAACAACAAAATGTGGTATGGTATATCCATACAATTGATTTGCATTGAGGCATAAAAAAGGATGAAGTACTGATATGTGCTACAACATGGGTAAACATCATGCTGAGTAAGAAGTCAGACACAAAAGACCATATATGATTCATTTAGATGAAATATCCCAAAGAGGAAATCTGTAGAGACAGATTCAGAGATCACCAGAGAATAAGGATGTGGAATGGTCACAGCTAATGAACACAAAGTGGTTTTTTTTGAGGGGGAGGAGTATGAAAATAGTTTCTAAAATTAAGCTATGATGATGGTAACATACTGTGTAAATACACAAAAACTACTGAAATGTGTAATTTAAAAGGTTGAATTTATGGTATGTAAATTGTATCTCAATAAAACTGTTAATTTTTTTTTTTTAAAGAATGAAGATAGGGCTGGGGCTATAGCTCAGTGGTAGAGCACCTGCCTTGCATTTGTGAGGCACTGGGTTTGATCCTGAGCACCACATAAAAATAAAGATGTTGTGTTCAATTACCACTAAAAAAAAAATTTTAAGGGCTGGGGATGTGGCTCAAGCTGTAGCGCGCTCGCCTGGCATGCGTGCGGCCCAGGTTCGATCCTCAACACCACATACAAAGATGTTATGTCTGCTGAAAACTAAAAAATAAATATTAATTATCTATTGTTTAAAAACAAAAGAATGAAGATACACTGTACTAGTTGGGAAGGTTTCAAGAGACATTGTTAGAAGAAAAAAATATTGTAAAAAATGGAAAAGGGTAGAGGAAATACATTTGACTTGGCTAGAATTTATATTTTAAAAAAACATACTAAAAGGATTCTGAAATGTCTAATGATCATCTCTGAAACATGAATTAGGAAGAAATGAGGTTAGTGAGGACAAACAAGTGTGCAAGAGGGCAAACCTTCCCTTGGTATATATATCGTTCATTCTTCAGATTTTTAAAAACGATTTTTTTCATTATTTGAGTCAGAGGCCTCAAGTT